GTGTGGTGTGGGGGGGGGGGGGTGCAGGTATGGATTAAATGGAAAATGGAGTTAATATCAGCGTAAATAATTGTATGTACAACCCGAAAGAAAGGCAGGATAGATCAGAGTGTCTCCCTGCACGATGGCCAAAAGAAAAGGAATGGGGGCCATGGCTGCCTCTATATACTGTCCGGGAGTTGGGCTAAGGGGACGGATTTGGTGTTCAACTGAAGCAACGGAGAACATCCACGGCATTCAGAGTCGGCGGAATCATGGGGAGCACCGGTTGGAGGGTTGGGGCAGCCAATCAGGTTCGCCAGAAACGGAGTCATGGACGATTTGTAATCGGAGAAGCAAGCGCCGTGTGGGGGGAAGAACTGGCTTTTCGCAAAGTCAATATAATGTCCATACTACCGTCGTTGATCCCGAGATGGTAGCCGTAGGGCTCTTGTCTAACTGGATTGCTCCTTTTCCTCTGCTCCACCCGGAAACGATCTCGGTAAGCGGACGAGTGGTCACGTGACCCCGCCTCGGCATCCTTGTGGTCCCTAACGGATGTTAGGGCCTAATATCTACGCCGCTGCAAGTAGCGGCCTGATTTGTCTTCGGGATTACATCCTTGGCCGGGATCTATGTCTCTACTTTGTACGCAGTACGGAGAAGACCCTCAAGGGCTTGGCTATGTACCTCCAATGTCCATACTCCGTACTAAATCGTTGGGCGGAAATTGCCTAATCCAAGTAGAGAACTAGCTAGCTGACTGCCATATCCAGTATCATTGTCTACATGTTTACATGTTTGCTTGTTCAATTTTTTCCCCTTCTATTCTGCCGAGATTACTGAAGCCATGCCGCCTTATCTCCCCGACCAAGGCCTCGTAGTTCAACCTGGTACTTACCCTGCGGATAAGAAAGATCCACCAGGTCTGACCTCTTTTCCAATGTTGTTTCCTCGGACTGGTCCATCGGAGATGAATCGGTTCCCTCCATCATTTGGTCAAAAACAAATCTGGAAGCTTTGCTACATATTCATAACAATAGCACTTTATGTGCTTGATATCAATTCTATGTATAGTATTACAGGTAGCACAGCTTCAGTGATCCGTAATCTCTTGGCTTAAAAAGGTTGACACCTGAGGCAGCAATGACGAAAGAGTTTGGGTCGGGTACAAGTTGTACCGCTCCGAACTATGCTATGTGCATGAACCACATGCTTAAAATGGAGACAACATATTAGGACTGAACACACAAGTTTTTCGTGAGCTTCGGAAAAAAAACTGGCACTGGGAAATAACTTGAACCTTTTGTCCACACTTCATTAAGTAGGCATTGCATATAGGGTAAGTATAATGTGTCTCGCCACATCATGTAATGCTCTTACTGCCAGAGTGATAGACGGGGGATTATACACAAAAGGCATAGTACCAGTCTTGAGTTCACGTACTATCAGTCACGCCTGGCTTTTTGTCTGATAGTTCTCGCAGGTTAGGCGGGTGGGCGAGTATCGGCATTCTGTGATGTTGCAATATGCCTATCCAGATGTTCATGCTAAAGCGCTATGTAGTTACATGCCTACATAGAATGTATGCTGTAACATCACACCGTCTTTTTAGAGTTGACTCATGCAAATAGGAACATGTGATGGATGGGTGTTTGATTGGTCGGTCTATCAACAACCTCCTTGATCAGGAATAACACATTTTATTTTTTTTTGTGCGTTTGTTCATTCATTGTTCATTCATCATAGGTTTCAATGTATTTTCTTTGTTCCAATATTGTTTATTTTGCCCTCTCTTGGTTTCTACCATACTCGATTCTATTGTCTTGAGACATTGCCGGCCACATAATAGGACTGATCCTATTGTTGCAGGCCGTGTGGTCCCAACATACTCTTTTCAGTCACAACAATAGCCTTGGTTTTTACACTATGCTTCATTCGGCAGTCTTGAATAAGAATCAAACTGCTACTGTAATGATGCACATTGTAGCCATAGATTCCGACGACAGCGATGCATAAAGATCCTCTTTCCCCTGTCCAATTCCTTCTTTCTTCCCATACTTCTGGATATTCCTTGCACTTCTGTTTCCGGTCCTTTTGCGTTTATTTTTCTGCGCTTCTAAGTATTTCTTTGAACAGGACTGCGAATTGAAACTTTAATCGCAACAATGTCTCAATATCCACCAGTCCGTCCCTGGGCAACTCTCAGTGCCATTGACCGGGATCACGAGTCAGGGATCCTCTATGAAGATGAACGCCAGCAATGGTTTCGACAGCATCCAAATACTGTTCCTCGAACGGAAAAGAGGAGTCGTAATAGGAGTCAACATGTCTTCACAGACCGGGGTCCCAGCATGGCTAAAGACCTTCGTGGTATTGCGGAACGCGGTGCAGCTCGTCGGAACGGAACTGCTGTGAATAAAAACGATGTGCAAGTGCCATCATTACCTAAAGTTGCTGAACGTAAAATCTAATATGGAACAGATTCTTCAAGCCATTGCCACCAATTCCTCAACAGGAAGATCCTCAGCCGGCCACTACGGTTACTCAGGATGATTTTTTTCAACGTTCTGATCGCGATATCAACAAGATGAGCATTTATTATGTCCTTGACAGATCAAACATGCAAGGCCACCACGACAAAACTTCTTTTGCTCAACAAGAAGTCTCTCAGCCTGCTACCAAGGTTGACCAGAAGGCGCTTCTCAAGGAATGCAAGCTTCCAGGATACGATGACGAGACTTCTTCAACTCAACCCAGAGAATTTGAGCCGACTCTATCACCCCTTTCGCATCACTGCTACAATGCGCAAGCCTCCGACACTAGTGACTCCTCTTATTCCCACCACTTGGATCATGCTGCTCCTACGTTCGAGGCTCCTCATGCTCAAGCCAATCCCAGTTCTCATCACAATGGTTGCAGCACAACTTCATGGTACGAGGCTTTACCCAATGGCCACAAATCTTCTCCGGACACTCAGGTTGCAGTGGCTTCCAACGCGACTCTAGACCCCGAAATCAAGCAAGAAAATCAATTCACTGAAGTGGGAGTAACCATAGATGAACTTCTCGCCTTAATCAATCAGGAAAAGGAAAACGATCGCCTTGCAAATGAAAATCACAACCCAGGAGGTTCATATTCTACCTACCGTCTCGCTCCCCTAAATTCGGCATCTATGGACATCTACCACGCGGACCAATGCTCTGGTCCTGGTTCCCAGCCCCCTGGCTCCCTCATTCGTAACGCTGAGAGTCCTTTATTTGTGAGCCCCGGTCCCATTCACGAAGATACACCTGCAACGCCTGTGTGGTCCCCGCCTCAAATTTCATCTTATTGTCCCGAAGGATGTTGCTATTGGTCCTCTGACGAATCGGAGACTGAAATTGCTGCGTCTCCTGAGCCCCAGTTTGAACGGGAACGGTCTGATTCCAATTTACCTTTGCATGAATCACCTCTGTTGCCTTCGTCCCCTCCCCAGGCCGCTTCTCTGCAAGAAGATTTCACTTGGCGTTCGGACAATGCCAGCGAGATTGACGCTGACTTTGTTGTACCCTTTGAGCATGTGTTTGCTTGGGACTACACTACTCCTGGCTCACCTCTACTGGATTCACCTCTACCTCCTGCTCCAGCTGATCCTTCTCCCGAGCGTCGTCCCAGTAATCTTCGTGAATATTCCCATGCCGATGTGCCTCGGGTTGGAATTCATCCATCTCAGATTCCCCACGATCTCCGGCTGACGCCGCTTACTTTCCGCCCAGATTACATTTCATCTCCTGTTAGCTATCCGAGACGACCGAGAGATGATAGAGCCAACATTGGCAACGTCGAGCAATCTCTTGTCCCACAGCAATTGAACGTGAACAAGAGCAAAACTACCTTCACCATGGATGTCCCCGTCCGCGAAGTATCTCTGCATCAGACAGCCATCCACGTGCCTGAGTCTACCAATGGTGGACATAGCCGCACGGCTTCCTTCGTCAACAATGATGTCGACAACACCCCCACCACCGCAACTCCGAGTCGTATCACCCAAAGTCCTGATGTCAGTAGCTCTGAGGGCTCTGAAGACTCGCGTGGAATCAAGCGCAAGCGATTTACCAAGAATCTCTTTGGGAAGAAAGGATATCTAGAAGACAACGAGGGGCCACGCGACAAGAGATTCCGCTTTCTGAAGGAGGCTCTCGAAAAGGGACATTCAACCATTGGCAATATCAAGGGAATGGTACGTGCTACGTGACGTGGCTTTTGAGAAATGATACAGTTACTAACTTTGTTTTTTTGATAGTTTTGGGATGAGAATCGAGCTTTGATCGGCTCATCCAAGCCCAGCATCGTCACTGAGAACACTGCCTCCATCACTCTGAACACCGGGGTACAGTCAATTCTGTACGCCGAGATTGAAAACATGATTACCCACGCAGCCAATGAATTCCTGATGAAGGAGTATTACGAAGGCCACCTCAGCACTAGTTCTCTCCTCAAGGTGAAACGAAGATGGGAGAAGAGGCACATGCCTGGTGTCCCGGAATTCCGTTTCGACCAAACTACCCAGTATCGTCTTATCAGCGCAAACCGCAATCATCTCAGCTTCGGCGAAACCACCAACGGCCTTGGCCCGAACACCGTTCTGGGTAACTGGAAAAAGATCTGCAAGAACATGAGCATCCGCACCTTTGTGGCCCCCGATTCGGTAGTCAAGAAGCACATTCACGATATCCTGGATCTCTTGGAGATTTTGAATGCTGATCGATGCCACCTTGAGTTGATTATGGCCCTCAATGCGCACATTCGTGGAGAGCTAAAGAAACATGAGGTGATGCAACACTACCGAGATACTCAGACCTCTGGAAACTCTCGCTCTTGATTTCTACTTTGCTTATTTGAAGTTGTCCTATGTTTGATTTGGCTTATTCCCCATTCTTATCTCGCTTTCGTTTTCGCTTTTTGCGATTCTATCTCGACTGTTCTGTTCCAGGAACTCGCCGTTATCAGTTTCGCTTTGAGCCAATTTCGTTTTCGCTTTTGCTCTTCTGTTTCTGTCTTTTCTGCGTGTTTTACCAGTAATTAATGGATCAACTAGTTCAGTCCAGCTTAGTTCAAATCCTACTGATCCCAAATACATCCTTTACTTTTCTTAATAGATCAACTGACAGCACGCGTGAACATAGCTATGTGCTCTTCCACACGGACCAGGGTGGGATATCTCGTGCAACGGTGCCTTGTGATACTGCATGAAAATTATAGATAGAGAGAACGTACATGTTCAATACAACTTCTCACACATAATTTCATCGTGGAGGAAACCAGGAGTAGGTTTGCTGGGGTTGCATTGTTACCATGGATTTTTTAAAAAAAAAAATTCAAGGAGAATGCCAATATTCGTATGTAAATAGGAGGTAAAGCTGTGCTGGCTGATAAAATTATAATCTAACCTGGCCAATCCTGTAGCTAGTGTTACCTGAAATGCTGTATTTGCCAACGGAGTATACATCGATTGAAGCAATTTCAACTAGATTTTACCTTGATTTAGGTTAATTTCCCAAAGAGAATATCCCAACACAAATCGATGGCTGGCAGATGAGACGCCGCCTCCAAAGAAGATTGATTCTACAGATTGTTAGTATGGGGCTAGAGATGGTTGCACAATAGGAACATGCCGAACCAATCGCTCTTTCGAGCTGCCATGCAATAAAACAATGGAGGTTATGCATTCCTGCATGTTTTTTACTTGATCTCTTGGCATTTGCCAATCATCGATGAATCAATCTTCGAACGATCTTAATTCAACATGGTCCAGGGTCTGTAAGAACTTGACAGAAACGGGAAGTTGTGCACGAAACACGTGGGGCGACGTCATCGACTTGTAGGATCACGGGTGTCAGGCAGTCACCGCTCTGCATTGGACGAAGTTCTTGAACCACCTCTTGTAAATGAGAGAACTTCTGTGTGGGTGTTTCCGACAGAACGTGTTGTGGACTGGAACAGTCCGGCCCCCAATGACCGTCAATTAATCCCGCGTTTAGCCTCCATATTAGGGGGTGGAGATCAATACCAGCTCAAATACAGGGGCCCGGCTCCGTACAAACATCCGAATGGCGGGCCTGATCCACACCTATGGTCCGAGTTGCCTGCTTGTGGATGAAGAGCAGGACCTCACCCGATTTCAATCGCTTCAATCACCACCAGAATTCCGGGCACAGTTCTTCTATATGTCATCATTACCGATCGATGATCCACTGGCTCCTCTACCTCCACCGGCAAGCCAGGGTACCGGCAATGAGAGACATTCTCCCACGCCATTCTCGGCCAGGGATAACATCGCCTTAGAGGAAGCTTGGCGTGATCTTCGGGAAGCGAGAAAGACCAAAGTCCCTGGGAACTACAGATCCAGGCCAAATACGTCGACGGGACCCCCTGAGATAGAGGTGCCTGGTCATGAATCGGTCTCGAACGTCGAACGCCGCAAGGCAGCCAACCAAGAGGACCCCTCATTGGTTGACAGTAGAGGAAGCACTCTGAGCAACCCTGTATCATTCCCGGATGACCTACCCTATCGCAGTTACAAGAGGCACCTCACTTGCGCTACCAGCGGTGCTGCAATCAGAACCCGTGAACTCGGCAAGGAAAATCGATTGGACTCTCCACTGGGTGATGGGTCTATCTACAACACTACGAGGGAAATTGCCATCGATCGGAAAAGAGTGCGCTCGTCTTCCATCAATGAGTCCAGTGTTACCAAACGAAGAGGCAGTTCTCAACTGGAAGCCGAGAACGTGGGCGAAGGCGACGAGGGGATTGGAAGTCTACGAGCTGACCGTTCTCACGATGCAAGCATGAGTGGCTCTCCTTTTATACGGGCGCCGGCATCTCAGCCTCAAACACCGCTTGGTCGCTCACTGGAGTCGTCTTCGTCAAGAGAAGGAGGCGAAGGGCAGGCAGAACTCCGAACCGGTGCTGCTTTTCAAGGTGCTCCAAAACTTTCGGGCCTCAGAATGACTGTGAGCCTCGATAAAGTGACCCAGGAATTGCAGCGGGAGAGGATAGAGGAGCCAAACACCCAGTCAAAGATTCCAGTTGGTGTCTCACGGCTTCATCTAGTCGAGTTGCCGAGTCTCAAGGTGAGTACACTTTCTATGCTGGGATTTAAAGTTTTAACAACGCCCTTTGTAGATGAAACCAATCTACTGGAGCCCTCTTCAAGACATATCAAGTGTGGTCCGAGCTACTTGGTTCTACAAGAATACCATGCTGCCTGTGGAGACTGAACTTGCGAACAAATTGGAGGAAGGCTACGTTTACTTGAAGCCATGGAGCGACACTTGGCAAGATGAACTGAATAGTTGCGTAGAAAACGGGGCCGATGCCGAGTTGAAAATTGTTCATCCGCTATGGACAAAACAAGACAGTCGGCCTACAGCTGCAAAAGCGCCACATAGTCGTGATTCGCCTGTGGATGAGGCAGAGGATCCCTTTGTATTCGCCGAAAATCGAGCTGCTGGTGGCACTTCTGTTCAATCTGAAAGTATCAAGACATACTACACATCCAGTGCCATCTATGTCGATGCAACAAATGCTCAAGTGCTTCGCCCCAGCTTACTTCCCTCGGTGTCGAGGGGACGACGGCCCCTTAGTGCAATCAGGAAAGGCCGTCAGATAGGCATACCTGTGATTCGCGGCTTTAGTCGAAAACGATGGGAACAACTGCACCCATCAAAGCCGAATCCCATTGATGTGCGCCATTATATTCGCAAGGCTCAGTCGAACGTTCCTTCTGCGCGAGGTGAACAAATCTGCTATGCATGCAAGATGGAAGAGTCCCGGCCACGTCCAACGGACTTGGTTCTTGTTATACACGGCATCGGGCAAAAGTTATCGGAGAGGATGGAAAGCTTCCACTTCACTCATGCTATCAATGCGTTTCGGCGAGAGGTGAACATGGAGCTTAATAATGAACCTGTCTGGCCGCACGTGCGCCAAGATCATGGAGGAATCATGGTACTTCCTGTGAATTGGCGCACGAACTTGTCATTGGATGACCCCGAACTTGAGACTGGTATCGAAGACCCAGCTACCAACAAATTTTCACTTACAGATATCACGCCCCAGACTCTTCCTGCGATTAGATCCCTGATCAGCGATGTGATGCTTGACATCCCTTACTATTTGTCACACCACAAGCCGAAGATGGTCAAGGCGGTGATTAGAGAAGCGAACCGTGTGTATCGCCTCTGGTGTAAAAACAACCAGGGGTTCCAAGACCATGGCCGCGTACATCTCATCGCTCATTCGCTCGGAAGCGTGATGGCTGTAGACATTCTTAGCAATCAGCCAACACATGTTCCTCGGTTTGACTTTTCCAATACAGCTTTACAAAGCGATGTGTTCGAGTTTGATACTAGACATTTATTTCTCTGCGGAAGTCCAGTCGGCTTCTTTTTACTTCTCAATAAGGGTATGTTTGACTGTTACATCATTCTGCCTTGTATCTAACATCCTCGCAGCTAGTCTTGTTCCCCGAAAAGGTAAAGACAAGCCGGGCAGCAATGGCGATGATTTACTTCATGGCGTAGCCGGCGAAGCTGGTCAATACGGCTGTCTCGCCGTAGACAATCTCTACAACATCATGCACACAACGGACCGTAAGTTGATTGTCTAACCTCCTCAATCGATTTCTGCATTATCTTTGCCTTCTGTGCTAACAACCCTTTCTAGCAATCGCGTACCGAGTCAATGCAACTGTAGATTCAGACCTCTCCAACTCCCTCAAAATGGGCTCTATCCCCAGCTCCACCTCCACCTTCTGGCAATCCATCGGAAGCGTCTTCCGCTGGAGCACAACCCCGTCAACATCATTGTCCTCCACAGCCCCTACCCGCCCTGCAGCAGTCTCCAAGCTCCCATCTAATGTTGAACTCGAGATCCACGACTTTACTCGCGAAGAGATCGCTGAAAAACGCATGCTTCTACTCAATGACAACGGGCAAGTTGATTACTATCTCTCGGGTGGTGGCGGCCCGTTGAATATCCAGTACCTCAACATGCTGAGCGCACATAGCAGTTACTGGACACTGGGTGATTTTGTGCGGTTTTTGGTAGTGGAGATTGCGAGAAAGCCGGGGAGAGAAGGGACGCTGCCTGCTTTCCGGTCTGAGAAGAAGAAGGGATGGAAGAATTTGAAAGGGTGATTTAATTTCGGGCTATCTATTGCTTTACTATAGCTTTCTGTTATTTTTGTGCTCTGAAGATAGAATGGGTACCTTGCGTAGTTGTAATATTCGCATACAAACATACAACTTGGCTCGTTCTATGTAGAAAACCACATTGTGATGTTATTCTCTACAAAGATGGAAACTTACAGCTATTGACCACCACATATCGTCTGTTCAAGAAGAGGATCGAAAAATGGCGAAGAAAAGACTGAGAGGGCAAGAGATACACAAACCTCAGAGAACGCAGATAAGAAACCAAGAGACAAGTAGTTTTCAGGAGATATAGTCTCCGTCTGGGCATAAATCATACATCGTGTCACATCTCTAGCAAACGACCTGGGTATCCGAGCCATGAACGGCCCCCATCAACAAAGCCTCCACGGTCTCACCCTTGGTCTCAACGCCCCGTCCAGCCTGTAAAACCACCAATGCATTTGCTTTGGCCAGACTACCTACTTTCGAAGACCGCTGTCCAGCACCCTCGACCCCCGTGCTCGTCGCGTACAGCCGACCATCCGAGCGCGATGCCGTAACCACAGCACGGTGGTACTCTGTGCGCTTGGGATCAAGCGGGAAGTCATGTGTCAGAACGACAGCGACACGCGGGAGACCAAGCTGGGGCGCGAGCCAGGGCTTAGAGCCGAGGGCCTGAGAGCTGTGTCCCAGGCCGGCGAGCTTGTGTAGCGAAGGGAGGACAAATAGGTTGAGAGTGACAAGGGCAGAGGCCGGATTTCCAGGGAGCGAGAAGATGAGTTTTGATTGGCGCTCCTGCTGAGAGGATGTGGCGTCGCCGGTTGGTTTGAAAGGGACGGTTGCGAAGGTGGTGGGCTTGCCCGGTTTCATGGCAACGCGGCCGAAGTGGATGGTGCCGCCGAGGGAGCGCTCGATTGTCGGCTTGAGGAGGTCAAGCTCGCCCATTGAGACACCGCCGGTTGTGATTATCACGTCGACACCGGTGGAGGCTCGGCCTACACCGCGAAGGGAGTCACGGAGGGCGTTCTCGAGCTCACTGGCAGGTGTGTCGCGAGCAATGCCAAGGTCAACAGTTTCGAAACCCCATGACTTCAGGCATGAGAGAAGAGATGGGCGGTTGGAGTCGCGGATTTGGCCGCCCGTGAGAGGACGTGGGTCATTGTGCTCCACGAGCTCGTCGCCAGTGCTCAAAACGCCTACGCGTGGTTTTCGGTAGACCTTGACAGTCTTGGTGCCGGTTGATGCCAGTAAGCCAATCTCTCCGCCAACGGGAGAGATCAGGTCGCCGCGGGCGACAATTTGGGAGCCCAACGCGACATCGCTGCCAGGCTCGCGCACATTCTCACCGGGCTCAATATCCTCAGCGAGGATTTCGACTGTCGCTTCCTCCTTCCCATCAGGTGTGCACGAATCCAACGTCGTATCCTCGACCATGACTACGGCATTTGCATTTGGGGGGAGAGGGGCGCCAGTGGTAATTCTAGCGATGGTCCCTGGTTGCAACGGCTCTAGATTCCCGCCGATATTGGCATGGGCTATTGATGCTACGGGGAAGATCCCTTTCGTGAACTGGCCGGAAGCGCTAGAATCTGGTGCAATGATAGCATAGCCATCGACGATACTAGCTCTGTATGCTGGTACAGCCTCTGCGGCGTAGACGTCTTCGGCGATCACTGAGCCAATCAAGGATGTGGTAGTTGGGACCTCAACGACGTCTGGCTCGGGAGTTTGCTCAATTATCCGCCGAAGAGCTTCATCCACAGATAGCATCGGGTAGGGTGAGGAGCGATAGCGCCGGTTAGGGCCTGCGCTAGGGTCGTTAGACTGTGGTCTCTCAGAGGGCGACGTGTGCGCTTTGGGGACCTTGTGCCCATGTCCATGGCCATGGCCATGATGGTGGTGACTATGGTGGTGATGCTGATGCACACCAACACCGGCCTCTGATTCCAGCTTCTTTACGCCTCCAGCATGGAGGTCCCTTGAATTGGCCCCAGCAGACTGTAGACAGGCGTGTGGAAGAAGCTTGATAACAGCCTCGAGGTTCTCCATAGCCCCTTTGGGTGAACCAGGTAAGGTAATAATCAAAGTCTTATTACGAACACCAGCAACTGGTCTTGCCATCATAGCAACTGCACGGGGAATTAGCCGAAGCAAACATAGTCAAAGAGAAGCACCATGGCAGCGCCCTTGATGTCATGCTCACAAGGTGTTACTTTTAAGGAGGCAGCAATCATGCCGTGTCTTAAAGTCTTGGTTAGTTTACTAGTGTCAATGGGGCATCCAGGGTATCCGACTCACACTAGTCCTGGCGCATGGCGTTGGATTAGGGGGGACACGGCCTGGTGATTTCATGAGCAAAAGGTAACGGTCAAGCAGATCAGAATCACAAACTTCAGGGGTGTTGTCCTTGACGGCAAATCCTGTCCCTCCACTTAGTAGGATGAGGTTGTACCAACTAGAGCTGTCGGCCCAGTCGTATACCGATTGCTGGATCTCCAGCACGCTGTCCGGGACGATCCTGTATGCGGGGGGTTCCCACTTCCCCTCTGCAGCCAAGATAGGCGCAAGTGCATCGACAACCTTGTCAGAAGCAGGGTCTTTCGAGGCAGTGTCTGAGACAATCAGGATTGCAGCTTTTAGTTTTGTCGCCATGATGTGCGCTGTGCATATAAGTCTGGGGAAGTGGATGTTTTGGCGGGGAAAGTTCTGTCATGGGAAAATGAGCAAAATATCGGGCTATCACCAAACCCCGATGTCAATTAAGCTGTATGGTGCGATTGATGAAATCAGTGCCAATACTGCTTTTCGTGTGTGCTAACTGTAATCCTTTTTGTAATGCTAGTCTCTTGCCCAAATTTTCATTATTTATTTCATTCGAATTATCCCGTCCTTGTAGGCCAACGAGTGAGTGCAACCTCAATCAACTTAGCCCAACTGTATTGAAATCTATATGACTTATGTGACTATATGTAGTCTGGCTTTTAAACCCGTTGAAATGACAGGTTTCCATGTTCTAGTGAGATTGTCAAAAGTTAGGCTAAATAACTGGAGATTACATTAAGCACATGTGAATGTAAGGTGAGAGTTATTTCTTCTGGTAACGGTTTCTACAAAGATTTGTTCATATCCATAATGTAACAAGCTAGAACGAGCTCACGCAGCCTCAAATCTGATACATATGATCTCCAGGTGATTGATGCAATCTAGCAAAACCAATGTGGCTCTACGTGGTTGACCCCAGACGCCACAATGCGGAGTATATCGAAGCATGAAGATAAAAAAATGAATTCGAGAATGATAGACGAAGCGGATCGCCTGGGGCATATGTTTCGAGCTGCCAATATCTGCTTGCCGCCCAAACTTGGAGCTCTTCTTTCTCAAAGGCTCAGGTTCAGGCCGCTTCTAGCACCGACGCCTTTTGGGCCACGAGAAGACCGACAATCAAACCGAAAAGACCAAGGACTGAGCTGAAAATCTCGACGACAAGAATCTTGACGAATCTGTAAAGGCAAACAATGTTAGTAACAGCTCTAAATATCTTTTTAACATTGCCACGAGAATCACTTACAGGCTGGGGTCGGCTGCATCGGCCAGGGCAGCACCACTTCCATTGATACCAACGGAGATACCGCAAATAAGGTTGCAGACACCCACTGTGATTCCTCCCCAGAAGACCGCGTATCCAGTGTAGTAGTTGCTAGAGGTGTGTATTCCGCCTTCCGGTACCGGGCTGAGCTTTGAGGAGAAGACAATGGCCATAATGACACCGTAGATAGCGACAACTTCACAGAAAATGATAGAGATCAAGTTCTTGGTTCGAATACGGGGTGCTCGGACACCGCCGCCAACAATCGATGAGCCGGTAAGGAAAATTCCCCTAGAAAAACATGGAGTCAATATCGCAATGCCGGATTGCGTCAACGGGGATCGGCTTACCATGCTGCGCCAACAACTGAGAAGCCGATACACGAAGCGATTCCGAAATTTGCCCAAGCATAAGGAGAAACTTCCTCCAGGAAACGGCCAACCTATTGCATATCAGGTTAGAAAATTTTTGAGCAAATCGCTTGAATGAGCGTGAGCTCCGTACATTGAACGCTTCTCCCTCTCCATGGAAGAGTAGATCTAGAATCCAGACCCTCTCATTAGCTGCCAGATCGCACCTCAGATTCATTGAAACATACACAATCCTACCACTATGAGAGCGATGGTGGAGACACCGGCCGGATAGAGGTAAGCCATGGCAACCTCTATGAGCCTGATGACGAGTGAATGATAAGGTCAGGATGATCGCAGACGTAGAAAACGCAGCCGATAAGGTAGCTGAAGCTTTGGGATGGAAGCAGATGATGGGGGACTCGGTGGCCGGAGCGGATTAACTGCTCCGTTCAGGCGGTGACCTTGCGGTGTGTGCTTCCCCAGACGTTTTGGACGATCTGTTTCCAACTGTTCTTTTAAGGGAAAACGCTTGTCTTTACCTTCCCTGTTCTCATCTGCCCTGTTCGTGTGTCTTTCACGCAGTTTCAAATCCTTGGCCTAATTCTGTGCCGCTTTACTGCCCCTGAATTTCAACCGCATCAACATCTCCGTGACAATGGCGTCTTCCTCCGGGGTTGGGTCGTATTCGAACCCCTTGAAAAAGTTCAAGTAAGAATTTGGACAGCGCAATTTGGAATTCAGAATGCATGGCTAATGGTGATGTGTAGGCTGGTGTTCCTAGGCGAACAGAGTGGTAAGTATCTCATTACTTCATACCTCTACCTCATGCGCTCTGGTCAACGAGAGGCTGGCTCAGGATGTCTAACATAACTGCAGTCGGCAAAACATCATTGATCACTCGATTCATGTATGACTCGTTTGACAACACATACCAAGCAACTATTGGCATTGACTTTTTGTCCAAGGTACGCCACCTCATACCCCGCACAGGGGTTCCAATGAATTTGGGCACTACCCTGGGAAGCTATCTATACATAAATGTCATGGCTAACCATCGTATCTAGACTATGTACCTTGAAGATCGGACTGTCCGTCTTCAGCTTTGGGATACCGCCGGCCAGGAGCGATTCCGTTCCTTGATTCCTTCCTACATCCGAGATTCGAGTGTTGCCGTGGTGGTCTATGATATTTCGAATGCTAAATCCTTCCAAAACACGCGAAAATGGATTGATGATGTGCGCGGAGAGCGTGGGAATGATGTGATTATTGTGCTCGTGGGTAACAAGACTGATTTGAACGACAAGCGGGAAGTCACCACTGCACAGGGCGAGGAAGAGGCAAAGAAGAACGGATTGATGTTTATCGAGACCAGCGCAAAGGTCGGGCACAACGTGAAGCAGCTTTTCCGGAGAATCGCTCAGGCTCTTCCTGGAATGGAAGGCGAGGCCAAGCAAGGCGAGAGCACAAGTATGTTCAATCTCATGTTTAATCCAAGGACTTCTTATACTGACTATGGCCTGTGCTAGTGATTGATGTCAACATCAGTCCCAAGGAGACCACCACCAACGATGGTTGTGCCTGTTAAGATTTCCCTGCGTCCATTCTGCCGCCCCTGAGTGCCCTGCCTCGATGAAGTCGAGGCCGTCCATGATATCCTACAATTTTTCGAAGATGTACATGTTTCTTCTTTCCTTTGCTTGCTCCTTGAGACGATAGCGTGTGTCTAGATCTTTCAGTGCCGAATGCGGTTGTATCCTGTTTATTTTCTGAGCTTGTGGGAGGAGACTAGGTGTTTTTGATTTCCGTTTAACCAGCATCATACGTTTTTTTTTGTGGCAGTTGAAAATACTTCGGTTGACTTCCTTTGGGGGGTCTTCTGATTACCGCTCTGGCAGCTTTGGCTTACATGTCTGATATGCCTGATATACTTTAATTCATGAAGCTGTATAATGTGGCATGTCCCTTCTGGATAACGAACTGCATGTCCGATATCAATGAAATTTGAACTCGACACTATCATACTCATTAACTAGACCCTTTTTTCAAAATTCAGACAAATGTGGTGTTCTGGTGTGCTTGTCAGAAATAGCCACAATCTGCTTCATCCGTCCCAAGTATACTTCATCTCGACGGGTTTCCAATTCATCTGATGGCTTCAAAGGGGCAAGCCCTAGAAGACAAGCCCTTGAGTATCCTTCTCGTGCTCCAAACTATACGCTATCATGGTCAAGAAGTCGAGCTTGTTGTTATCTGTGATTTCGCCATATTTCGCAAGCGCAGGAGTTTTTGCCTCGATTTCAGACTTGGCGATTTCCGGTCAGAATGTATTTAAATCGTCTTTTGAAGATGTGAAAAGCATACCTTGCCAAGGGAAAGTCCGGGTCTCCCTTTGCAAATGTGACTGATTCCGTCAAAGACTTTCCAGACTTGCCGGTAGAAGCAACAGTCCCTTGCCACCTCTCTGGCAACCGATAATCAATCTCTACACTCGATTCTGAAGTCCGCGCAGAGAGGCTGCCTCAGATCTGCTTCAGTATAATCGATTATTATAACTTGGCCTTTTTTCGCCGCATTGGCCAGTATAAAGCCCATGGATAACTTGCTTTGATGAATTGTGTCGCCATTCCCACAGAGGCTAAGTGCATTAATAGCAGCCTAGTATGCGAGAACAAGGACAGAGTCAATGTCGTCGAAAGCAACCTAGTTCTTGGCATGTCATTTAACGCTCGAACGAACAACAGCAAGGGTTTTACCCGGCACTAGAGCAGCTTTGATTGCATACGGTCGTTCCAAGCATCTAGGCCTTGAAAGCCATCATGAGCAGAATAGGCAGCGAATACACCGTTGAAGCGGGTCTTTGCTGTGTGCATTGACGTTGAGTAGGTTTCATCAAGAATTGCCATGATCCTGCGGCCTGAGTTCCAGCTGATTCCAACTGCTAATGGTGTCTGGTTTGCATACGCTTTAGAAGGTGGGCTACAGCTGCTGCAACTCCAAGGTCTCCGCCTGTCTCGGTAAGATGGAGTTTCTATGGCGCAGTTTAATACTTTTAAATTGCTTTGATGGAGGATATTCATGGACTCCCGCTAAAGCTGACCTCATAACTGCTCTTCCTCAGATACTCATCAACGCGACAACCGACTTCCTAACCACCCACGTAAGCAGTAGTAAAATCGTCACTACTTGCCCCGATGTCTTGAGATGCTGTTAGAACAGCTGGAGTAATTACAATTGCCGAAAAGTCAAATAAGAATTGTGATGATACTTCGATTTTTGCAGATCATCGCACTCAACCACATAGGATGCAGCAGCATTAATCAGAATGGCACATGCCGGACTAGTGGTGTGGGATTGGGAGCCATCAACTAGTTCGCTCTTCCCATTCGATGGGTCCATTTGAGCTGCAAAGCGCACCATTGCGGAAACAGCAGAGTGGCTCCGACTGGCCATGGCACAGCCCAGGGTATCTTTGAAGAAATCACCGGTGCCCTTGGACCACATTATCAGAAAAGTGGTTGTGCTTGAGGCTGGCGGCCCATTTTACCGATCGATCAGTTTCAATCTCTTGGCGATCGGATGGTCATGGCGCAGATTCCAAGAGACGGGTTACATGACAGAGGGATTGAAATGTCTTGATACTCAACTTGATGTTTGACCTCCAAGTATACGTGGGAAAAAATGATGGGTAGGGGACACTTTGGTCATTTACGTACCTGTTTTCCAAGAGTGTGTCACATGCTAATTCCCACGGTATACAAAAGGCCCATGAAGCCAATGAGAGAGTTTTTTTTTTAAAAAAAAAGGGCTTTAGTGTGTTGGATGGACCTTTAGTCAGAATGTCCCTCAATCAGAACGGTAATCATTCCAATTTTTTGTATAAACCGTTCAAAGTTCAAATCCGAACTGGCAAGCATATGTTGTATGTTGTACATCTTGACTGTTGCCTAAATACAAGCATTGATGCCTTGGCTGTAAGGCAATGATTAACTTCATAAATTTGCATAAAAAGGATCAGTCAGGTAAGGGGGCAAGCCACTTAGGCATGAAAATGCAGTTTTCTGTTGCGCATTACCTAGGCCACATGGATATATATATATATAAGTATTGACCAAACCAGATGTAATCAATAGAGATATAGTTAAGAATCACACTGGATTCAAGACTTGGATTTAAGATGAGGTCATTTAAAAAGTGAGAACAATGCATCCCATCCGAAACGGAATTCGGAAATTGATCTGCGGGCGGATCGCCCGGAAAATGGCGCCCCTGGGCCATCTGCGGTGCCATACACCCAGCCTTTTTCCTCTTCCCTTGCTTTGCCCGTGTATATAGCCAACCACATTTCCATCACGAATTTCATCTCGATAACGCACATTCTTGGCCAGAGGCTCTAACACACACTCATGGGGTTTGCTTCCCGTTTTCTCCGCATTCCGCGGCCAGAGGTGAGTCAAGACCGAATCTTATCCATTGCCCTCTGGAGCTAACTCATTTTGTCAAAGTCCTTTCTCTATGTGATGAGCTTAGAGACTGGTGCCTCATTGATCACGCTTTCACTGCTGTTGAATAAAATCAGTGGTCTCTATGGCCTGCTGGCCCTTTTGACAGGCTACCACCTGTCCCCCGTCCAACTGTCAATGTACCTTTGGTCCCTCATCGCCCTCGGACTCGCTGCACTCCTGTTCCCACACATTCGCAAACAGTCGCCTTTACAATGTCTCGCCCTCACCTATCTCTATGTATTCGACAGCCTGATTAACGCCGCGTACACCGCCGCTTTCGGTGTGACTTGGTTCTTGGTGGTATCGCAACATTACGACAGTGGCAAAGCCGCGGGGCCGGGAGGCAACACGATTGCCCAGACGGCTGGCTTCACCAGCCCCAAGTACGATACGGCCTACGTCGAAATTCAGAACACAAAAGACGGAAACAACTTCGTCGCTCATCCCCCGCGTGCCGCCGAAGATCTCAGCAATGTCGTCCTTCAGCCCGAGAGTCTCCCGAGCATCATCTTCATCTGCCTTTTGTGGGTGATCCGCGTCTATTTTGTTCTGGTGATGCTCGCTTTTGCACGCCAGTCCCTTCGCCTTTGGGTTGCGATTCCCCGGCACACCCAACTTCCGACTCACAGTCGTAACGTTTCAGTCGCCAGCGTCGCCGACATCGATCAGGATCCTTTCTCGCCCTATAGCCCCGACGGCCAGGGCTGGCAAGGCAAGCTGGGTCGGGTGATGATCAGCATCGGCCACAGTTACTGGTTGGGCGAAGAGGAGGACGGTAACTGGCTCAGCGGCATAAACCACAAGTTCCGCCACCGTTCGAATAATACGGAGCTGCCCGGTGCACTGGAAAGAGAGAGGAGACGACGCTCTGGAACGGGTCCCCCAGCACCGTCGCCATCTATTGTTCGATCTGCTGTCCTTCAGCAGCCAATTTCTGAGCATGCACCTGGTGGCATGAATGTGAAGATGCAAGATTGGAACGCACCTCGATAATCTTTACGCTTGTCTTAGCGGCTATTGAAAAATATCAGTCACACTAATGTACAGTCCTTGCTTGGACTCGGCTCAATCTCTTCAACCCCCTTATCTTCTGCCTGGCCATCTGCACTGAATGCAACGAAGTCGACTGTGTCCAGCCAGGGGACACAATCCATCTTGGCTCTTGTGTCTGTCCCATCTTTATAATGAGGTCACTGAATCGGATACCCGATCCTTTGCCTTCATTCGATCCTCCACCATCACGAAGCCCGAGCCCCTTTGGCTCGATACTTACGATAAACTGCATATATGAATTTGGAAAGGGTCCAGGTATATGGCAATGATCAAACCGCTCGGTGCCATTAATCGATATCTGGATCCCTCCCGTCTGGGTCTGGAAGGCGTTTTGAATCCCTTCATGGGAATTGGGGCGCTTTAACTCAAAATGAGTCTTGGTTGATAATCACGCTCATAGTCATCCATTTGACATCCACGATTTTGGCGTCGGGACATGGATCTGTATATTGCTCATCTAAAATGGGGTTCTGCATATTTCCCCGCGACGTTTCATGTCTTGTTTTGTACACAATTGCTTTTGGATATACCTCACACATAATTACAGCATAATTTCTTCTTAGTGGTGTGTCAAGAGAAGGTGGCCAGTAATACTGAATTGTTAAGAGTCCATTAATCCTTCAAGTTCTCCGTACTCCGTACGGAGTGGTCCGAAATGAGATTAGTAGATGAAGTTCTCCTTTTAGAAGGTTTCTTTTTGACAAGACTCAAACCTCGACGTACTCGGCCGAGTTATCATGATAAAGCTTATTGGCTAGAGTTGTATTATCCTCGAGCGAGATCGGTGAAACCCCTTAACCTTCGGCATTTGACCGGTAGTCTTGTTCAAGCAGGGATTTCCTTCTACGGAGTAGAATAGGTGGGAATATCCCGAGTGAAATGCATTTATTGGGCATGGGTAATTGCCGTGGCGTTATTGGTACGCTGAAAGCATAAAGAAAATTGCCCTAATCGATGCGCTGTGGGTTGATCACAGGATAAATCGGGATTCTTGGACTTCACATAATCCCGTGGATCAAGCAGATCCCTTGAGAATCCCGAGATTTAATGTATTTCATAGATGATTGACGTGGTTCTCTTGATTGCCAGGCACCGCACGAGTATCTTGGAGGCAAACCCCGGCGCTGACGTGCTCGACAACATCACGGGATCCCCCGCGCTGGGCTCAAAACGGAAGGTTTGCAATTTCAACTCTGAGTGTTTGCATTGATGTCGTGATCGAACACCAATCAGCAGATTGCTGATCTAACCCCCGACGACGGAGAAATGAGCGAGGGAAAGAAAACTACTGGCTTTTTTCCCTTCTTGTTTAGAAAGAGAATTCTAAGGGAGCTGAAAGACATCATATTTAATTGTCTCCTCTCACTCGTTACTATTTCTCTTCGGTTCTGTGCTGCGAGTGGGAGATCGCTGCATACATACTGATAAGATATATCGCGATTGAATCATCCCACTTGTGCTGTGAACTTTACAGCCAATTATCACAAAAATGGCATCCATTTCAAGCGCTGCTGAGGCAGGTACGTTGTTTACTTTTAAAACTTTTTGGTTATTGTCTTTGAAAAGTGAGGGCGATGGCTGATCACCAAGCGATTGTATAGTGGCAAGAATCGCATACCTCACCAGTGATACCGTTATCTCCGTGCAGCCCTCGTTGCAAGATGACTCATTGTTCTCCAAATCACTCAAGGCCCTCAAGGCCAAAAAGACGAGGAGCCTCTCGTCAAAAGCCACCGAGGTGAGTTGGAATTGTTAGGTTTGCCAGACCGGAGCCCAACTGATACTATATCCAGGTCCAAGCCGTGCGCTATAATGAAGATCCCCTTCTATCCGCCTTCACTCCCCTTCAGAACGGCGAGACCACCTCTGTCGTCACCAGCTCCTCTGTACTAATTACCGCCGTCCCTCACCTTTACCGTCTCGCCAACAGCCCTGTGGTCATCCACGTTGCTCTGGAGCCCTCTCCATTCCCCGATTACTCCGTGATTAGCTCCATCCGCCAGTCCGGTTTCACATTCCTCCACTCAGAGACCGTACAAGAGGCCCAGGACATTGCTATCACAGCCCACGCGCTTTCTCAAAAGACTGGGAAGGGTGTCATCCACTTCTTCGACCCCTTTAACTCCGCCAAGGACCCTTCTATTCCCGAGGAGGATGTCGAGGTCGTGAAGAAGGTTCTCAGCGTTGGTGGAAATACGGCCATCTCTGCTGGAACCCAAACTCTCTACGCCGACTCCGGTCGTGTGGCCACTGTCACGGAGGAGACCGTAGGTAGTTCACCCACGGGCCAGCCCGAGCCAGCGAATTTGACGGTGCCATCTCAACCTCAAACTCCTTTCAACGCGAGCGTCGACAACTCTTCAGTTGGCTCCTCGCGGAGAGACAGCAGTGCAGGCAGTGACGTCGCGAGCTCGACTGCGACGACTGTTGACAGCGTCGTCGTTCGGCCTATTCACGCGGGCGATATTTTCGAATGGACGGCTCGGATTTGGAACACTCTGTTCGAGGAAGTGGGCCGTAGATACAATGCCATTGAGTACACTGGTGTTTCCGATGCTAAGTCTGCTATCTTCGTCTTTGGCTCTACCGGAGTCTTCGTGGATGCTCTCGCCAACGTCGGTGCCAACCCAGAGTTGGAGAACATTGGCTTGATCACTGCTCGCCTCTACCGCCCCTGGGTCGGTGGACAGATTTCCAACTCTATCCCTAGTTCCATTGAAAAGATCGCCGTTCTCGAGCAAGTTCGCAAGACCACCCGATGGGGTCCTTCCTTCATGGACTTATTGTCCAGCCTGACGCCCTCTGGCGCTCGCGTTCAGGCTCCTCAACTTGTCGGATACTGTCTCGGATATATTGAGTCCTCTACCGCTGTCCAGGCCCTTCGCGGTGTCTTGCAGAACCTAAACTCCGCTTCTCCCATCCAGAACCTCGACATCGGAAGCTCTCAGGTTCCTACCGTTCAACAGGCTCTCGAGCAGCCTCGCATTGAGAACGCTTACTTGAAGATCTTGAACCAGCTCTTTGGTGAGCGCCTCCATATTGCCAACCAGCTTGGATCCAATAACGCTGGTGTCTCAAGCATTATTGCTGCAAGCCCCGAGTTTGGATTTGGTTCGCTGCTCGCTCGCCAGGAGCACCGCCAGCGTTTCATTCGGGAGGTTGAGGAAGCTACCAAGTCCAGCGCCTTTGCTACTGACGCCCCCAAGACTTGGTTGTCCCGCTGGGCTCTGAATGTGAAGGAAGCCGCCAAGGCTAACAAACTGGCTCCTGATGTGATTAGTCGTCTCTCTACCGATGGCTCTGCGCTTTCCCGCCAACTCCTCCAGTCCAAGAACTTCTTCTACGAGGAGTCTGACTGGCTGATCGGCTCTGACGCCTGGGCCTACGATTTTGGTAACTCCGGTGTTCATCACGTTCTCGCTTCGGGTGCAAATGTGAACATGCTCATCATCGACTCTCAACCCTTCTCTGAGCGTGCTGCATCTGACGCCACTCGCCGCAAGAAGGACATTGGTCTCTATGCCATGAACAGAGGTAACGCATACGTCGCCTCGGTCGCTGTTTACAGCTCGTACACCCAGGTTCTTCAGGCCATGTCTGAGGCCCAGCAGTTCAAGGGTCCCTCGGTTGTTGTCGCTTACCTGCCCTACAACAAGGAAAACGACTCAGCACTCACCGTGCTGCAGGAGACCAAGAAGGCCATCGATCTTGGCTACTGGCCCTTGTACCGCTGGAACCCTGACAACGAGGAGAAGGGTGAGCCAAAGTTTTCCCTTGACTCCGAACGTATCAAGCGTGATCTTGAAGAATTCCTCCGCCGGGACAACCAGCTTACCCAGCTCATGAACCGCCACCCCAAGTACGCCCCTGTCCTATCTGAGTCCTATGGCACCGAGGTTCGTGCTCTGCAGAAAAGAAACGCCAAGGACTCCTACGAGAAGCTCTTGGATGGTCTATTCGGTGCTCCCCTTACCATTCTCTTCGCGTCAGACGGTGGTAATGCCCAAAACATTGCTAAGCGCCTTGGCAACCGTGGTCGTGCCAGAGGCCTGAAGACTATGGTCATTGCTATGGATGAATTCCCTCTTGAGGACTTGCCTACTGAGGAAAACGTGGTATTCATAACTAGTACTGCAGGCCAGGGTGAATTCCCCGTGAACGGTCGTGCTCTTTGGGAGTATGTCAAGAACACCGGTGATCTCGATCTGTCCGCCATCAACTACTCCGTTTTCGGTCTTGGTGACAGCCACTACTGGCCCCGCAAGGAGGACAAGATCTACTACAACAAGCCTGGCAAGGACCTTGATGATCGTGTCGCCTTCTTGGGCGGTCGTAAGCTGACTGACATTGGCCTCGGTGATGACCAGGACCCAGATGCCTACCAGACCGGGTACTCCGAATGGGAGCCTCGCCTGTGGAAGTCTCTGGGTGTTGACAAGGTGGAAGGTCTTCCCGAGGAGCCTGCCCCGATCACCAACGAGGATATTAAGGTTGGCTCCAATTTCCTACGCGGCACCATCGCTGAGGCTCTTCTTGATGAGAGCACAGGCTCTATCCCAGCTAGTGACCAACAGCTGACTAAGTTCCACGGTACATACATGCAAGATGACCGTGATCTCCGTGATGAGCGCAAGGCCCAAGGTCTTGAGCCTGCTTATAGCTTCATGATTCGCTGCCGTCTGCCTGGTGGTGTTGCCACCCCCAAGCAGTGGTTGCAGATGGACGCCATTAGTAGCTCATACGGTAACGAGACTATGAAGCTCACCACCAGACAGACCTTCCAGTTCCACGGTGTGATAAAGCGCAACCTTCGGAGTGCCATGCGTGCCATCAACAGTTCCATGATGGACACACTCGCTGCTTGCGGTGATGTGAACCGTAACGTCATGTGCAGCTCTCTCCCCGAGCTGTCGTCTTTCCACCGTGAGACCTGGGCCATCTCTACCAAGATCAGTCAGCACCTGCTACCCTCAACCTCTGCCTACCACGAGATTTGGTTGAAGGATGACAACGACAAGAAAGTTCAAGTTGCTGGAGATGCTATCGTTGACCACGAACCCATCTACGGCCCAACCTACCTCCCCCGCAAGTTCAAGATCACCATTGCCATTCCTCCTCGCAACGATACTGATGTATATGCCCACGACATTGGCTTGATTGCAATCAAAGGCGCCGATGGCCACCTCGAAGGCTTCAACGTTCTTGCTGGTGGTGGTATGGGTACCACTCACAACAACACCAAGACCTACCCTCAGACTGGTCGTATGTTCGGATACATTCCTGCCGACAAGATTCACCTCGCCTGCGAGAAGATCATGCTCGTTCAGCGTGACAACGGTGACCGCAAGAACCGCAAGCACGCCCGTATGAAGTACACCATCGACGATATGGGTGTTGAGACTTTCCGTAGCGAAGTTGAGAAGCTTCTTCCGGGCGGCCTTAAGTTCGGCGAACCCCGTCCCTTCGAGTTCAAGTCGAACGTTGATACCTTCGGCTGGATCAAGGATGATGCTGGTCTCAACCACTTCACCTTTTTCATTGAGAACGGTCGTATCGAGGATTCTGCCGATTTCAAGATGCGCACTGGTCTTCGCGAGCTTGCTCAGATGGGCAAGGGCGAGTTCCGTCTCACCGGTAATCAACACCTCATAATTTCTCGCATCGCCGACGAAGACCTTCCTGCGATCAAGGAGCACATGGCCAAGTACAAGCTTGACAACACTGCTTTCTCCGGCTTGCGTCTGTCTTCCTCTGCCTGTGTTGCCTTCCCTACCTGTGGCTTGGCTATGGCAGAGTCTGAGCGCTACCTCCCCGTTTTGATCTCCAAGCTCGAGTCCACCCTTGAGGAGTGTGGTCTTGCTCGTGACAGCATCGTTATGCGTATGACTGGTTGCCCCAACGGTTGTGCTCGTCCCTGGCTCGCCGAGGTTGCCTTTGTCGGAAAGGCCTACGGTGCATACAACATGTACCTGGGCGGTGGCTACCACGGCCAGCGCCTCAACAAGCGTTACCGCTCTTCCATCAAGGAGGATGAGATCATTGACATCATGAAAGGCCTCCTCAAGCGATACTCTCTTGAGCGCGATACCGACGGCGAGACCCCCGAGCGTTTCGGTGATTGGTGTATCCGCGCTGGTGTCATCAAAGCCACTACTGACGGACAGAACTTCCACGATGGCGTAAGCAATTCCTTCCATGATGTCCACACCATTGATTCTAACAAGTTCTTCTACAGGTTGCCGAAGACGAGGAAGAAGAGTAAAATGCTGAACACAGCAGTTACACATAGTCTCGGATTTTTATGACTCTCATGGGATCAAAATTTTGACATCTCACCCTTCTAATTGGATATTCTTACGTCTTTGTCCCACGTCGTAATGCATTGATGTCTTGGCGATTGTTTGATTTTATGCAAAAATGTTAGATCTCGTTTTCTCTTCTCTTCCTTTTCTTCATGTGAATTTCAGTGACGGCTCCAGTCTGCTCATACAATTACACTCCAAATGATATCATTTTTCCAATCATCTCCAAACCACTTGAACCAATCCTCTAAATCTGGGCATCAAAAGGTGGCCAACCGTGGAATTAGCCCAGGGGGGCGTTGACCTCGGGCAGCTGATGTAGGGTTGACATCACCCCTCGTGCCTCTTTGGCCTCAACATTCAAAGTTTCGATGTTCACTTGAACTTTGTCACATCTAACACTTTCGTTAACGTCCATTTCAGTTTCAACGGGTTTCTATGATCAATATGAATTCGATTCTATCCGCACCTTTTGCGCCGCTGCTCTATCTACGCCCTCGGTTTCGTCAAGACCAAGACTGGTCGTATCGACAAGCATTGGCAAACACTTTCATGAAACTCTTTCTACGCATTTTTGTGGTTTTTCGCACAAGACCACCACTTTCTCTCAAGCCGGGTCTAGATGGAGACCGCTTCGTTGTGATAGAACCCGGGGCACCGGAGCTCTACACCGGCATCACAGTAGACGATGAAATCCAGCCAGTGACCGTAGGAGGTACCTGGTTCCCATCACTCTACCAATACAGCACAACAACTACCCAAGACAAGCACGTCGTCCTCCACTTCCACGGCGGCTCTTACATACTTGGCGACGGCCGCACATCATCTTGCAAGTTCCTCGCCAACAATTTGCTACAGCACACCCCAATAAGTCATGTCTTCAGCCTACAATACCGTCTAGCTTGCAACCCCAATGGCCGTTTCCCTGCCCAACTCCAAGATGCCATCTCTGCCTACTCATACCTACTCTACACGCTGCACATCCCGGCATCTCGCATTGTTATCAGTGGCGACAGCGCAGGTGGCCACCTTGCCCTCGCACTCCTGCGTTACATCACCGAATATGACGACGAGACCATCCTCCCCCCACCCACCTGCTCGTGGCTTTTCTCGCCCTGGTGCGATATCCCCGGCTCTCGCAACAAGCATCTCTGGGATAACACGCCAAATGTACGGACGGATTACATTCCGCCCTCGTTCCCCGCATGGGGTGCGAAGCATTTCATCGGTAACCTGCAGATTACTAGCGAGGTCGGGCCGTATCTCGCGCCAATCTGGCATCCTTTCGTCCTGCCTTCGCCTGTTTTGATTGTTTCTGGTGGCAGAGAGGTTATGTGTCAGGAACATGATCGGTTGTCGAGACATTTGAGTAAAATACAGCAAAATGAAGGTCGAGTGGAGTATTTCGTACAGGATCATTTGCCGCATGATATACTTATGGTAGCTTGGATTCTGAACTTTCGAAAAGAGGCTGATCAGTGTGCAGTTAACGCTGGGATGTTCTTGACGAGGATGCAGTCTCAATCAGAGGAGGATGGGACTGATGTCCCTTCTGTGGCTTTTGAGTCACGATGATGTTTTTATGTATGCCCTTTGGGTGCACCCTCATGCTACCTAGGTATTGCTATTTGAGATGAATTTTCTGACAACCTGACAGAACGACTGCTTTTTAGAGAGAGAGACTACGGATTCTCTCGGGCTTATTAGAAAGGCCTCATGATAGCCACTTCCATCTGAACACTGCTTCTTTTCATCTCGACATACGTTTGGTCGAAATGACCAATACCGCCTTCCATTAAATTTATTTCAACTGGAAATGATTTGTTTGTCAATGACCAGACAGTCTCCAATTTCTTCAGACATGAATCTCTCCCATTTTCCTCTTCTCTTTCAATCTCTTTCCTCTCATCAAAGCAGACTCCCGTACCCATCACAACTTGCAACCTATACCGAGACTCCTATTCTCGTTACTATCAGATTCGACTCCACGTTGATCAGTACCGTGATCTCATGCAAAATCGCCGACGCTATCGGCCATCGACCTCCATCAACCCCAACCCTCAGTGCGTTAATACGTTAACAGCAATAGCAAAGCCCCTGAGATTCTGAAGACGCCAATAGCTTTATCGCCATCAGGTAGTCGTCTACGCACCGTCGCAGTCGAAAATGGCACCTATCCCAGTAATGATTCGCGAAGCAGCTGAGTTTGAGAGTCAGTACGGCATATCCTGGACAGACTACGGTGCGCACGCCAACTACAGCAAGCAGGAAAACATCTCTCACGAGTTCCGGGAGTGGACTTTTTTGCTCGTGGTCATTGCCAGTGTTCTTTTTGCGATTATCGTGGTGGGCATCATCGCCCACTTTTGTTTCTGGGGAAGACACAGGTATATGACAACTATCCTATTTGTGATTGCGCGGGGTCACTGATTTGAGTTGGTCATGCAGGTATCCGCGGCAAATTACATCTCCCGAGGATAAGATGAAGGACGCTGAGTATCTAGATACGGCTGAGGAACCCCGCTCAGGTATGTGGAGACATACATATGTCTTGCTATGTACCCGACTCATGATCAACATAGATGGTTGGATTTGTTTCATTCTGGCCTGCCATGCTGCCATTACCCTCAGTGGTGTCTGACACGGAGGAGCATATACAGCTGTTGGGGAACAGGACAGTCAGACCAATACCCCCTGCTCTCTCGTCGGCTATCAACTTTTTCATGGGATTGTAGCTGTTATGTGAAACTTGGTAGATCAGACTATAAGTTTGGTACTTGAGGTCTGAGCCTGATGTGACGAATTTTGTAATGAGACTGGGTCAAATATGGATTTGGGCGTTTTAGGAATGAAGATTTTTGTGTTGAAGAAAAACAGTCAACTCAGCACAAACCAAGTGGAGGAAGTTATGTGCAATGTAAGTCGGCATCAAGAGTAAAGCATCTTAGTTCTATAACATACTATACATCACCGGACGTTGTCCTACTTTGTGCAAGCAGACATAGGGACAATTTGGCTGTAGCGTGTGCAAGGTGAAAAGGGCCAAAACTTGATAAAAAAAAGTATGGATTTTTCCTAGCCAGGGTGATAGAACATGTTGAGGTCTACGTGGGATTGTGAGGGTATCTGCATATCGATTTTTGCACCCTACAGTTCCAGGAATAGGGGATCATGATCGGACGGCACTTCTTGGACTGTTATTTCGTTGTGTCAAGGTGGAACCCCAATCCTCCCAGATTAATTGTGCCTGACTACTCTTAGTTGTAGCCATTGCTATGAAAATCTTAAGCAGACAGCATCGCCATGTGTAATCTACCAGACCTGATTCTGGGCGACGGACCTATGTTGTATCAAGCCAGATGCAACCCTAAAAAGCATACGGGAAACGAGGATTTAGTCAAACAACTCTATGTTGACGTGCAAATCCCACAGAGATCTGAGAGTCAGCTAACTGCATCGCAATCCTGCTCAACCCCAACCATCTCTATCAATCGATATCGCACCAATCATCCAACCCCCAAGCATCCTGACCCGCGCCATGAGATCCTCCTGAAGGATTCTTCGTGAGGTGCGCCGGGCCACGTTAGCCTCTTAAGGTATCATTTCTCACATGATTGCAACCGACATTATGTAGATTCTGTAAATTCATATATGCCGGCTGCGCTCTTTAGGGTTTTAGGTAAGGGTGAGAAACCCCTGTCTGGTTGGTTGGTCATCGTGACCGCTTCCAATGCTGAATGGTGACCGACTGGGTCCCGATGGGACGAATCCGCCTGCCCGCTCCGGGTGGCCGGGACATCCCTCTTCTTGCGACTACCCCATTCAGGCGCATTTCAATATCGACTTACGTCTTATTGGCTACCTTGATTAAAACGAACCGCGAGTGTCTGCAATTCAAACTGTTTCAGACATCTTGTTGGCACGAATGATTCAGACGCCCTCAAGTCATAGTGGCGGGTTGATGTGAGGATGAACGAATGGTTCGCAAATCGATGGAATACAGGAAGATTTGAGCAAGGGGTACGTCTCTCACGCTATGTTGTAGGAAAGCATCAATGTCGAATTGGCGTGCTCGATGATGACGGAAGCTGGAAGAGCCTCGACCTCAGGGGAGAGTGCTTGGTCATGAGAGAACGAATAGCATGGTAGCTTTCTCCGCACAACTCAATAGTCCTCGAGAAGAAAAGAAGTGAACAAGCGGGCGATGTTGATTTTGTACCAGCGCCCGGGACCGGGGAGCAAAAAATGGCGGTGAACCGATAGCTGTCTTTCTGCCACATCCCCGCCGATGAATTTCGATTAAAAAAAAAAGTTGTCAATTCAAGTCTTTTTTACAGTTATTGCTACTTCTCTCTTTTTGATCCTTTGCTCATTTAATATACTTCTTTGCCTATTCAGCATGACTTGCTCCGATGATGATCCTGTCGTCGCCTCCTACGACGTTCTCCTCACTGACTCGGATATTTCTCGCTATGTCTTCCAATACGTTGATCGAGAGCATGACCGTCCCTACAATGACCAACAAAATCAACGACCGATTCAACTTCGACTCAAACCGCGCACCGGGCTTGTTGAAATAGAAGTACCCATCAGCACCCGAGAAAATTACGACGTTAACAAGGGAATGCGCTACGGCGATGCGGTGAAGAAGAGCCGTTCAGCGCGCGATGGAGGCGCTTATGGTATGGCAGGTGGCTTCACCGCTGGTAGTGGAACTGCAACTGCAGGGGGAAGAGTTAAGATGGAAGCAAATGGGGATGTGGAGATATTGGATAATAAGAGGGCCGTGGATTCTGCATCATTGATGCGAGTGCAGTCACTCGGAGGTCGGATAAAGCCTTCTGAAGAAGGCGATCCCGTTTATATGCTGGCCACCTTCACAGATAGTACGTTGACTTTATTCCATCGCTTTCTTTTCTGGTGGCAACGTTCGATCCTAATACGCGTTCTTAGAAAACCTGCATCTCTCACCTGTCACATCGGTTGTCCAGTTTCACCCTCAACTTCACCACCTCGATGCTTTGGATGAGATGCCAAAAGGAAAAGGCGCACGTGCTAAGAAGGATGACGATGACCGTCCTATCGAGAGTGAAGCACGTGCAATTGATATTAAAGTCAAGGCCGCTGAAGATGGTGAAGCGGCTGCAAACGCTGGCAATCTAGACCTTCTTAAGCAAATGCAAGATGAGAAATGGAAAACCTTCGGTTGGTTTGACGCCGAGGTATGTTCTCTCTTTAATAGGGCTTCTTGGTCCGTTTTTCTCGCTAACTGTTACCGATCGCAGGCCGAGGATTCTTGGGACACATATGAGAGCTTTATGATTCACAAGGATACCGAAGATCTCCCGTCCTTAGAATCAATCATTGATTCGGAAGACTACCTCGATAAAATGAGCGCTCCTAGGATTGATCCTGCCCGCCCCGACCTGACTGGTTGGGCTATGAAGGAAAATCGCCGGAGACAAAGAGACGGTCAAGCAGGTAACGAGGCTCAATAGCGGGAGGTGATATTGTACGATACCAAATAGTCAATTTATAGCGGACGCTTATCATAATATTTGAGAGTAATCAAATACAATAAGGTCACGCCTACTTCACGTTAGTTTAACAAAGACCATGAGAAGGTTCATCTTTTCCCAGGCTATGCCACTCATGCTTGTCCGCCAATCATGACAAGAGATTGCACGTGGTCACGTGCCTGCTCGGTTTTTCTGCCATCTCCGCTTCATCGCGACAGGGCCGATAAATCTCCCTCTCTCTCACATTGTATTCGTGTTTTTCATATTTTTTTTCCGTTTCCCTTTTTTCAGTTCAGTCGAGGGTTGCAGGACAGCGTGTCAGGGCGACTGTTATCCCTCTTCTATAGCGGAACAATCGCATTGGTCCAACATAACATCCATCATTGCGGTGTTGTGTTTTTCTGGCCATCATCGTTGAAAGCATCTATCTTATAATTTACCCTTAATATCTTTTCTTTTTGGATTCATTATCTTCTCATTCATGCTTTACCTCTGACTTTCGATTTAAACCCCCCAAAAGCGCCGATTTCATGCACGATGTTATCTCGCGTGGCTTGTCAAAAAAATGCTTTCCTTCATTTGCGGAGGACGCGGGCCTTCCGAGCATCGTTCCATTTGCCAACAACACGGTTTCATTCAAGTAATCGAAATCCACTCTTGAATTTGTCGAGCAACTCGATTCACGATCGCCCACGCAACCCGTCTCCGCAATCAGAACGCCATCTTGCTACAGCCGCCGACCACTCCAGCATCGATGGACATTCGCCCGAGACTTATGATCACTTCGTGCACATGCCATACGAGAGCTTCGATGCATCATCCCTGATCATCCTCGACTCGACGCCACAATCGCAATCAAAAATTTTCCGCAGGAGGCATGGTGTTGGCGGTGATGAAATGGAGATGAAGGCGAACTTAGAGCTGTCATTGAAAATTGGGGAATTTGAACGAGCCTCTGCGTTGATCACTCGCCTTGGCCATTATCATCCGCCTGGCTCGGATGAGTATCTCGTTATTCATAACCGTTTTATGAGACACATGGTGGCGCACATGATCCTCCACCGAGAGCAAGACATGATTCTGCCTTTGCAGAAATGGTTCGAAGTTGATATGCCTGCCGGTGGCGTGACCCCAGATGCCAGCAGTTTCGCGATTATGATTCGAATGGCCCTGCGTATGCTACATGGATCGAAGCGCGACAGAACCGTTCGTCGATACTGGGAACTTGCTCAAAACGCGGGCTTGGAGGAAGAGCTTGTCGGCATTGAGGTTCTTGAGGACTCTGATGTTGGTGAGCTGTCTAAGGTGAGTTTACACGTCTAGCCCGTACTTTGAAATCATGCTGATGTTCCCAATTTAGATTTGCTCCTCAGACATGCTGGACTTGGTCTCGAAATATATGAAATTCCCCGAAGCTACTGAAGCGTCTTCCGCCGTCATCGATAATACCCCCGAAGTGCAAGCTGCCGACCAAAAGGGATTGGGACTGGCATCTCTGAAACAGTCTCTATCCCTCTTCTCTGGCAATTTCGAAGTCCGTTTGCCCGAAAATTTCACAGGTACCGAGGATGAAGGAAAGCAACTGCTTGCGGATCTGAGGCAACAACGACTGGAAACCGACAGTCTCGATTCGGCCCTCTGGCGTTGGCGAGAAGACAATGCAGAGAGACAAAAATTTGGGCTGAACGTTGCCTCCGATGAGAAAAGGCTCAATGGAATCATGAGCCAGTGGCACACCGACCTTGTGGCAAGAATCAAGAAGGAGTTGGTGCTCGTTAAAGAGGCACTTGCGGCCCGTATCGTAAGTTTGGAGCAGAAAGAGCGCTGTGAATATGGGGTTTTTTTGCAAGCCCTCGATCCCGACCGACTAGCTGCACTCACTCTCTTATCTGTGATGTCTACTTTCAGTCGCCAGGGGATGGACAAGGGAATCAAACTCTCTATCCTCGCTTCGGTAGTCGGAAAAGAGTTGCAAGATGAACTCATTGCCGACACCTTTTTGAAAAGGAACAAGTCTATGGATTCCAGTCGCCTCAAGGCACTGAAGCAGACTCTCGCAAACCGCAAAGACAAACAAGGCCGACTTCGATGGCGCTCGCTTGTTGAAAAGATCAATGCAGAAAATGAATCAATCCTATGGGGCTCTCGCTCACAGGTCAAAATCGGTGCTGTCTTGATGAGCATGTTGGTCGAAGTTTCGAAAGCCCCAGTTTGGACCGAGGATCCTGCCACCAAAAAAAGGATCCTCACTATGCAACCTGCCTTCGATCACTCTTACCAGATCAATTTCGGAAAACGATCCGGTCATATCCACATGAATAGTAAACTCGTGGAGATTGTTGCCAGGGAGCCACCCGCTGAGCTGTTGGCCCGCCACCTCCCCATGGTTTGCAAACCTAGACCATGGACAGGGCCAAGATCTGGCGGGTACAAGGTTTACGAGTCCAACCTAGTGCGCACTACTCCTGGTGAACTACTGCAACCAGCGTACCTCAAAGCTGTCTTGAAAGATGATGGGTTGAAAGAGATCCGAGCAGGCCTTGATGTTCTTGGTGCCACTGGATGGAAGATCAATCAACAGGTTTTTGACGTGATGCTTGAAGCCTGGAATGACGGTGGAGCTGTGGGAAAACTCGCCCCCTTGAATCCAGACCTGCAGGTGCCAGAACAACCAAGCCCGGACGCCGACTACGCAACCCAAAAGCAGTGGCATCACAAGGTTCGTGAAATTGAAAATCTTCGCTCCGGATTCCATTCTGTTCGATGCTTCCAGAACTTTCAGCTTGAGGTAGCGCGAGCCTTCCGGAAAGAGGTCTTTTATCTGCCTCACAACATGGATTTCCGCGGGAGAGCTTACCCACTCCCTCCTTACATGAATCAGATGGGGGCTGATAACTCAAGAGGGTTGCTTCTTTTCGATAAGGGCAAGGCACTTGGGGAATCCGGCATGCGCTGGTTGAAAATTCAGATTGCAAACCTGTTTGGATTTGATAAAGCGAGCATGTCTGAACGGGAGCAATTCACAATGAACCATTTGGACGATGTTCTCGACTCTGCCAATGCAGGACTCCATGGACGACGGTGGTGGCTCCAGGCTGAGGATCCATGGCAGCTTTTGGCAGCGTGTTGCGAGCTACGCAACGCCTTGCAGCTCTCTAAGCCCACGGAATATGTCTCCCATCTTCCAATTCACCAAGATGGCTCTTGCAATGGACTTCAACATTATGCCGCTCTGGGTGGTGACCGTGTCGGCGCCCAGCAGGTCAATCTTGAACCATCCGATCGCCCTTCAGACGTCTACACCGGTGTGTGCGAGTTCGTTAAGGAAGCCATTGCGCAGGACGCAGCCAATGGCGATCGTTTAGCTCAGCGTCTCGACGGCAGAGTCACTAGAAAGATTGTAAAGCAGACGGTCATGACTAACGTCTACGGCGTGACCTTTTTGGGGGCGACCAGACAGGTTAAAAGGCAGCTTATCGACTATCTCCCTGATCTAAGCAACACAGAGAGGAACAAGGCGGCCTTTTACATCGCAACAAAGATCTTTGGCGCTCTCGGGTCCATGTTTAATGGAGCCCATGAGATCCAGTATTGGCTTGGCGATTGTGCCCAACGCATTACACAGTCTGTGACACCAGAGCAAATTGAGGAGCTCACGCAAGCAGCATTAGTACCCAAGGATGAACGCGACGACAATTTTGCGACATCTACTGACCCGGAGAAATCCTTCCGATCCACTGTGATTTGGACGACCCCCCTGGGTCTCCCAGTAGTCCAGCCCTATCGCACTCGCAAGACACGGCGTGTTCAGACCAGCTTACAAGACATCAGTCTCGTTGATCCCGGCTCTGATGATGTTGTTTCAAAGCGCAAGCAGCTTCAGGCCTTCCCGCCGAACTTCATCCATTCTCTTGATGCCACACATATGATCATGTCCGCCAATGCATGCCATGAAGCGGGTTTAACATTTTCCGCTGTCCATGATTCATTCTGGACTCATGCTGCCGATATCGACCAGATGAACCTCATCCTTCGAGATGCCTTCGTTCGCATGCACTCTGATGATGTTGTTGGGCGCCTTGGCGCTGAATTCAAAGTGCGATATGGCAAGAATATGTTCCTGGCACGAATTTCTCGCTTCGGCCCCTTGGGTCGGGCGATCTTCAATCATCGCAGCCGCACCAGGATTACCAAACTCCAAGAGTTGATCAACGAACATCGACGGCAGACTCTACTCAACTCGGAAGATCCGGACGATCAGGCCGAGGGTCGTGCTATGGTGACACCCTGCAGTCTCTTTGAATCTTTGGGGGGTACAGACTCTGACCTCACCACCTACAAAACCATGGGAACGAACGCGATTGGGCACATTCCAGAAATCATTCCAGATCAAGAACGGATGCCGATAGGATGTTCAATCGACACCAACGACCCGGCTATTGAGAGCCTGGTTGGCGACCTCGAGATGTTTGAGGCGAAGCAGATATCCCGTGGTGAGATGTCCAAAGTCGAGGACGATATCCATGGTGAACCCTTCGATCAGACCGAGCAACCGGAGCAGAACGAACAGTCCCAAAGCTCTGCGCGGTCCAACAACAGCAAGTCGCGCCACTTAACCACGTGGTTATGGATGCCTCTGAACTTCCGTCCCGTTCCTAAAAAGGGCGACTGGGACCTGACCCGAATTCGTGAAAGTGAATACTTCTTCTCATGATGCTCTTATTTCTCTGGCAATTACCGCATTCCGCTGGCGCTTGTGCATGCTTCTATGTCTTTGTTTATTCATGTCCGGAGTGCTGTGGAGGAGTGACTTTGGGATTCATGTGGCTGACTTTTTAAATTTTCTATATATTTTCTACCCGGTTTCTTTTCCGGGCTTCAATGGTTGCATCTGTACATTATTACCACATGGGAGAAGAAACAGTATATACTACCTGTATGAATATGATATCAAACTTCTAGAACTACCCTCTCTATTT